GGAACGCCTCAGCATTCCCCCGGAGTAGCTGGATGAAGTGTCTGGAGCGAGGGAAGTCTGGGCATCTTTGCTTAGACTGCTGCCCCCGCGACCCGGTCCCGGATAAGCGGAGGAAAATGGATGGATGGATAGATGGGTTTTTTTGCAATCTTTGTTTTGCCTTTAATTTTGATAGTTGTGCTGTTATTTTGTCATATTTCCCTCACTTCTGAAAGTCTGCCTATGTCTTTGGTAGAAGTACACAGTGTCGTCCCTTTAGAATGAATCCATTTAGGCACCTTTTCTTAGATGTCAATTGTGTGTGCAAGGTTAATGTTGCGGGTGGGATTTAGGATTATACTGTAATTGTCCTGTTTCAACACGTGCTCGCTCCTCCAGCATGGACATTGTTCTTTAAGCAGGACTAGACTAAGACTAATCTAATTACTGTGTTGTTTATCTTTGTCTTTGCAGACGGGACGCATTGACAAGTCCTACCCCACAGTGTGTGGTCACACAGGTCCAGTGTTAGACATTGACTGGTGCCCCCACAATGATCAGGTCATCGCCAGTGGCTCTGAGGATTCCACAGTGATGGTAAGGTTTGCCTGTACACCTGAACTTAGACTCTTTAGCTCAGTGGGAAAACCACATCACACATGCCTTTATTGCAAAAGACCAGGCTGTTGTAACTCAGGAATGGGTGCACCTCACCTTCTGGATTAGATTAGGTTGAAATATGTGTTGTAGGAACCAGAGCTGGGGAATGATTTAGCTGTTCACTGAGCTGAGGTCACAGACTTTTTTTAGGTCTGGTTGCACTTCCCTCCACATGTCCTTTATTAGTGTGCTGTCTGTTTTATATAGCTGCCGCTTCCTCACCTGAAAGTCCTGACTTCCTGTTAAACCCACTCTGAATCAGTGTCATATTCATGTCATGTTTACAGAAGTATAGGTCATGAAATGGAAGCAGGATCCTTCAGTAGTTCCAGTCTTAATAGCATTTGTTCAAAGCTCACAGCCTCAATAGACTCCCTATTATGTTTAATTTAGATTAGGTGGGAGTGGGTATCACTAAACAGCAGACTGGTAGAGATATGCGCCATGATGTGTTCATGGTTAACCTCATTTACAATAAAAAAAATGGATTTTAATTGTTTCACATTATATTTAAAATATGAGCATACCCTTTGTCTTTTTACTTAAACACTATAACAACTGAAGACAGTTCCTACGGAGGTGGCACTTACATCGATCATCCGTGACATTATGGCCACCTGCCTAATACTGTGTACACATCATTTGGTTGGCACTTGTCATTCTGAGGCTCACAGTGCAGCTTCTGTGAATCAATTTGTTTCAATAGTTATACTGACAGGAAGAGCACAGATATGTCTACCAGTATAGAGAATGTGAAGTTGTTGTCACACTGTTCAATTTTGGGTAAATATGCCATTTTCATGCTCGTTATCCATCATAGAGATATACACTACATACATCTATGTTAATAAAAATATATACTATCCCACAGAGCTACATACAGTAGTGGATGCTTCAACTACATTCAGACATCCACTTTATTGTTCAGTTTGAGCACAGACAGAACAGAAATTGATTCATCTGCAGTGTTTGTCATCTACTGACAGCTGATAGCTAGCGTTAGCTGCTGACTAGCCTATGACCCTGTTGCTGGTCCACTGTTTGTCGTTCCTTAGACCCATATTGGTAGGTACTAACCACTGCCTAAAAAGAAACCACTTCCACAAATATGAGAGATTTTTGAGAATCTCATTCAGCTCAGGTAGCACTAAATTTTATGTCAGCTTCCTCTTCCACCATGTATGAATTAACTGTATATAGTTGATCATGGCTCAAACGCCATGCAATTAGTAATGGCAACACAAAACTCTTGTTTAGCACTGAAGTTGCATTTTAACAAAATTATGACAAAAGATGTCAGATTTCATAACATTTTCGGTCTGATCTCCGTCTTATAATTAAAACTGACTCAGAAATACAGCATGTGTCGGCAGTAAATGGTAAATGGACTGTATTTTATATAGCACTTTCTCACAGTGTGTTTCACTGGCCAAAGCGCTTTACAGAAGATCATACACCATTCACCCATTCACACACCGATGATGACAGGCTGCCATGCACCGGCGCTAGTCAAGCCACCGGGAGCAATTCGGGGTTCAGTGTCTTGCTCAGGGACACTTAGGCATGCGGGGTCAGGAGACGACTGCCCTACCTCATGAGCCACAGCCACCCCCTAGACAAAGTAGACAAAGTTAACTCGTTAAGACGTGCATGATTTAGATCCTTGTGTGATCTCAGTCTCGCATGACAATAATTCTGCTGTTTGTATTAGCAGTGAGATCCCTTGCATCCAGCTAAGCACTCCCTTTTCCTCGCTAAGTTGCATTAACCAGTAGCTGCAACTAATAACTGCAAAGTTGTGTATTTCTGCCTCTACTATTTGGCGCTAGGCAGGCAGTGCAATGTTTGAAAAATAGTTGCAGGAGGGCACAGAATATCTTTCATAATGTCAAACGTGTTGAATCTGTTTATTAATCAGTCTTCTCTACCGCTACAGCTTGTCACGTGATGTAATGCATGCTCTTGGTTAATGCAGCTTAGTGCGAAAAAGGGAGCCCTTCATTTAATGCAAGAAATCTCCCTGCTAATGCAAGCACAGCGGACTCGTTGTGACATGAGACTGAGATCGCAGAGGGATCTAAATCACACTAACAAAACTATTTATTGTGCAGCCCTGCTCATTATCAAAAGTCTTCTCAAACAATGACAGACATCTTGTTTTGTTAAATCTGTATCCCATCCCTCACTGAATCCTGTCCTGTTAACCACTGAATTCTTAGCTGCTGCTGCCCCCCTCAGGTTTATTTTGGTAACTACAGATTGTCTGTTGTGCAGATACTGTAGTTGATATTCTGGGGTTGACAATGAAATTTAGGTGAACACGAGGATAAAAAAACAAATGTCTCCTTCATTGACCTCTGCCATATCTATGTCCTCCACAGGTGTGGCAAATTCCTGAGAATGGCCTTGTCTCCTCCTTGTCTGAGCCAGTGGTGGTACTAGAGGGCCACTCCAAGCGTGTTGGCATCATCACATGGCATCCAACAGCACGCAACATCCTGCTTAGTGCAGGTAAGAACGCGCCATCTGTCTCTGTCTCCGAATCTATAGAACAATGCTCCTGAAACCCAGCTGTCCTCAGAGTTGGCGTTCAAAACTTGCTGAAATTCAGTTTGAACACTAATCTTAGCTGTAACACTTCACTCAAAGACAAAATGCTGTGTGGGACTCTCTTCTACTCACCTCTGTTTCACTCTCTCCCCAGGCTGTGACAACCAGATCATCATCTGGAACGTGGGCACAGGTGAAGCCATCATCACCCTAGACGACATGCACCCCGATGTTATTTACAGCGTGTGCTGGAACCGCAATGGAAGCCTTATCTGCACTTCCTGCAAGGACAAGTCCATCCGTGTCATCGATCCCCGCAAGGAGATGATTGTAGCTGTAAGCAATTGTCCAAGGTTTTTTTGTTGAGTCATTTTCTCCTTATATTTCATTGTGTCTGCAGTATATGAGAGATTAATATAGGTGCAGTGAAATAGGGTTGCAAGTGGAGGAGTCTAGAGGGCTTGGGCTCATGAACCTTCTTCTTTTCCTTAAAGTGACACTGAATTTTCACTTCATTTAGATTCACTGCTATATAGCTGACTCTGAAAGCAAGCAAATTAATTAAATGTAAGCTGAATAATATGCTCTGTATTTTCATTTCTTTAAAAGTAGAATTTACAGTGTGATTTGCAAGAAAACAGCAAAACAAGAATAGTCGTATATAATGGCATGAACCCAGGAGCCTCAATTATACAGATTCCTCAGGAGTATAGGATCAGCATTAAGAAACAAAGTAAAGCTGAACATAAACTGTTCAGGAAACCCTTCACTTACTCACACATGTACAGTGGATACGGAAAGTATTCAGACCCCCTTAAATTTTTCACTCTGTTATATTGCAGCCATATGCTAAAATCATTTAAGTTCATTTTTTTCCTCATTAATGTACACACAGCACCCCATATTGACAGAAAAACACAGAATTTGACATTTGTGCAGATTTATTAAAAAAGAAAAACTGAAATATCACATGGTCATAAGTATTCAGACCCTTTGCT